CGGCACTGGGATCAGCATGACAGGGGGCAGCACCCAAACCCCCTGATCACCCTGCGGCTCTGTGTGTGACAGGGGGTGGGGCCACAACCTCCCTATCCGCCCTGCTCTGTTCGTGACAGGGGAAGGCGCCCCAACCTCCTGATCAGCCCTGCTCTGTGCCTGATACAAGGGAGCTCCCCAACCTCTGATTGCCCTGTGGCTCTGTGTGTGACAGGGTGCGGCGCCCCAACCCCCCAATCGGCCCTACCCTGAGCGTGACTGGGGGTGGCATCGCAACCTCCCGATCCACCCTGCTCTGTGCATGACAGGGGGCGGAGCCCCAACTCCCCAATCGGCCCTGCTCTGAGCCCGACCAGGGGCTGCACCTAGGGATTGGGCCTGCCCTCTGCCACCTGGGAGCAGGCCTAAGCTAGCAGGTCGTTATCTCCCGAGGGGTCCCAGACTGCGAGAGGGCACAGGCCGGGCTGAGGGACCCCCCTTCCCCCCGAGTGCACAAATTTTTGTGCACCGGGCCTCTAGTATAAATATAAAATGACAAAAAGGGTTTAAATCAGTTTAAAGGAGAATCTGAAGAAATGACCCATAGGTAAGCAGTCAGGACTGTTGAGATGAAGTTTTTTTTTCTTTATTGATTTTTAAAGAGAGAGGAAGGAAGAGGGATAGAGAGTTAAAAACATCGCTGAGAGAGAAACAAGAGGGATAGAGAGTTAGAAACATCGCTGAGAGAGAAACATCATTGATCAGCTGCCTCCTGCACACCCCCTACTGGGGATTGAGCCTGCAACCCAGGCATGTGCCCTGATGGAGAATCGAACCTCTTGGTTCCTGGATCAATGTTCAACCTCTGAACAACACTGGGTGGATGAAATGAATCTGCTAATAATTCAAACCTTGTTATCAGCCACAGGGCAATAATCAGTTACATCTCCACTGGACAAAGTACTTTGCATATCTATGGACAAGAATATTTTGGGTTATCATAAATTTTTAATAAATTACAGAATTATAAAATAGCACAAAGACAATGAAGGGCAAAGGTGCTTCTGCAGAATCAGATAATCACAGAAGGGTCTGTTAGATAATACCCAGCATTGCATTGAAGACACTTCAGGCCCTGACTAGTGTGGTTAGATGGTTAGAGTGTCGACCTGAACACCAAATGGGTTTGATTTCTGGTCAAGGGCAGGTACCTGGGTTGCAGATTCAATCCCTGGCCCTGATCAGGGCTCGTGAGGGAGTTAACCAATTGATGTGTCTGCCTCACATTGATGTTTCTGTGTCTCTCCCCATCCCTTCCACTTTCTCTAAAAATCAATGGAAAAAATATCCTTGGGTAAGGATTAACAAAAACAATAATATGACATTTCATTAATCCATTTTGTCCATTTCAAAGTCTTTTACAAAATCTCCTGATGTATTTATTTCTGCAGAAAGACTATCCTATTTTCTTCAAGAATGGAACTCTGAAGCTTGGAGGGGAAAGAGAACCTACTCCCCGGCCCAAAAAATGGCCTATTGCCAACATTCTGGCTCCAGGAGCTAATAACATTCCTGATGCATTCATTGTTGGTGGGCCCTACGAGGAAGAAGACGGAGAACTCAACCACCCTGAGGTGAAGGAGTTATTCAGCTTTTCTGTGATAAATTCAGTGTGACATAAGATAAAATGTTTTGTGAATCACTATAAATTATTTGCATTATCACCTGTTAAAATGGAACAATTATATGCCAATAATACAGTTTTCACCCTTGCCTGTTTGGCTCAGGTAGAGTTTCTGTCTTTGAACTAAAGGGTCACGGGTTCAATTCCAGTTAAGGGCACATACCTCGATTGCAGGCTCTATCCCCAGTCCCTGGGAGACAACCAGTCAATGTGTCTCTCTCATATCGATGTTTCTCTCTCTCTCTGTCCCACCCCCTCCCTTCCACACTCTCTAAAAATCAATGGAAAAATATCCTCAGGTGAGGATTAACAACAACAAAAATAATAGTTATCTAATTCTGATTTAAAAGTCTCCTGACATCCTCAGTCCAGCAAACAAAATAATTGAATTAATTCAAATTTACCCTTTATTTTGTTTTATATTTATTTATTTTTGAGTAGGTAATAATACAGTCACAGGGAGAAATAAAAAATTAAGAAATATGCTGTTAAAGTCTCCCTCCTTCCTCCTAATTCCTTCCTAGATCATCACCCAGTAGCCACCTTTTTATAGTTTCTTTCAGTTTCAGTGATATAATTTGTAAGATGAGGATGGTTGAATTACTTTCAATATCTGACACTAAATATTTTAAATAATAGAGATAAGGCTAAAATATTTGAAAAACATTCTGCAGTGTCTTTTCTCATTATTGTGATTATTGGAAATTCATATTGTTCTTAGATTTATATTTTCATTTAGAGCAGATATTTTATTTTAGATATTTAGATTTTATGTTATATTTTAGTTTAAATCATTAATTCCCAAACCTCGTTGCTCATTAGAATCACCTGGAAAGCTTTTAAAACAATAACAATGGCCAAGCCTTAACCCAGATCAATTACATAAGAATTTACTTTTAATATAATACCAATGTCCAGATGTTGATTATTTTTTTAAAGACACTCCCAAATAATTCTAACATGCATTCAGGGTTGAGAATCACTTCAATCGGTTATGTGAATTAGTACTGGATCGATATAAGGATAATATAAGTAATTTATCTTATGTACTATAGTAATAAAGCACCCTAAAATTTAAGGTTGTGTAGTATCTACAGTTGTAGGCGTACTTATGGTAATAATAGTAGTAGTAATAAAAGTATTGTGATCAAATTACCTAAAAGAATGCCCCACTAATTGAGCAAGATGAAACCATGGCACATTGGGAGAACAAACGTCTCTTACTATTTTACAGGACAGGGAAATGAGGATCCAATCAGAGTGCATAAAGAAAAGGATTACTTGGGACTTGGAGAGTCGTTGCTATCTTGATCCTCCTGCAGTGGTCAGGTAGGAAGAAGAGGGGAATCTAAACAGCCAAGACTGTAGATGGGAAAAAATGTTGCTTTTGGTAGCTTTATCTACATTTGAGTTAAGGTGATCTGAGACTCTTTCATCACATCTGCTAATAACAGAGGCTTCTAGTGATGGTGAATTAACCAAGGTAGGTTCTTATTTCCCTTTCAGATAAAAGAACTTCAGAGCTGGTATGTATGGTGGCTCCTCAGTGTTAAGAGGTATCTAAGCTCAATGTGTCTTTTTGCTCTACCTTCCTTGACATGTGCCTTCCCTCCACAAGGTTGTCTCATGGTCCAGAATGGCTGTTAGAGTTCCAGTGTACACATTCACATTCCTGGCAGAAAGTTGGAAGAAGAGCGTAGTGCTTATAGATAAAAAAAAGGACACATACTGGCTGTCTTAGCCCCTCTTATGGAGTCTTCCTGGAATCTGACAACCTCTGTTTATTTCTCATTGGTCACCTCTATATGCAAAAGAGGCTAGAAAATATGTTTTTGTTGGATACATTGTTGTCCAAATCAGGATTTAGATACTAAAAACACTATTGATATTGTATGGGTAACTATTAGTCTCTGACCTGGCAATCAGGGGAAGATGAGAAATAGAGAATTATCAATATATTTATCATCTGAATGAACAACTATTTTATTTTATTTTCAATTAATAGATTATTTTTAGAATTAATTGAGCAGATATTTTGGAGAGTTCCAGTATACCTCTAGTTCCCCACTTGATCAAATGTATAACTAAATATACATTATGGATTTGATTTGCTGATATTTTGTTAAGACAACACTGTTGCTCATTACTTTGAACAAACAATTATCAACTTGATCAATTAAAAATTAAAAATAAAATAAAATAAAAAGAAATAGACCTGGCTGGTGTTGCTCAGTGGTTGGAGCATCGGCCTGTGTACCGAAGGGTTGCAGGTCTGATCCCCAGCCCCTGTTGGGGTGCATGCAGGAGGAAGCCAATCTTTGTGTCTCTCTCACATGTATGTTTCTTTTTCTATTTCTCTCTCTCTCTTTTTCTTCCTCCATCCCTCCCTCACTCCCTCCTCCTCTCTCTAAAAACATCAATGGAAAATATATGCTCAGGTGAGAATGAAAAATAAATAAAAATAAATAAAAAATTTCACCTTTATTTATTTCATTCTTTGATTCTTTTCCTTTCTTTATATAGATTCAAATTTTTGACTCATCATTTTTCTTATCTCTGAATACTTGTAGCATTTCTTGTAAGGCAGGTCTACTGGCCACAAATTCCCTCCATTTTTGTTTGAGAAAATCTTTATTCTTGATTTTTTCTTCACTTTTGGAGGATAATTCCACTGGATACAGAATTCTAGGATGGTGGTTTGTCTCTTTCAATACTTTAAATATTTCACTCTGCTCTCTTCTCACTTGCATGGATTCTGAAGAGGAGTCCAATGTAGTTCTTATCTTTGTTCCTCTATAGGAAAGGTGTCTCTCCTCTCCCCTTTCCCACTGTGGCTTCTTTCAAGATTTTTACTCTCTCTTTGGTTTTCTACGGTTTGAATAATATATACCTAGGTGTAGATTTTTTAGCATTTATTATGCTTGGTGTTCTCTGAGCTTCCTAGATCTGTGGTTTGGTGTCTGCCATTACTTTGGTAAAATTCTTAGCCATTGTGACCTCAAATATATCTTTTGCTTCTTTCTCTCTTTCTGGTATACCTGTTGCATCTTTTGTAATTGTCCCATAGTTCTTAGATATTCTGTTATGATTTTTTTCAATTGTTTCCCTTCCCATTTCAGTTTGGGAAGTTTTTATTGACATATCTTCAAACTAACTAATTCTATCCTCAGTTATATCCAGTCTATTGATAAGCCCATCAAATGAATTCTTTATATTTGTTGCAGTGTTTTTTATTTCTAGCATTTTCTTTTGATTCTTTCATAGAGTTTCCAATCTCTCTCTGCTTACATTACCCATCTATTCTTGCATGTTGTCCACTTTTTCCATTAGAACCCTTAACATGTTAATCATAGTCATTTTAAATTCCCTATCTGTATCATAATTCCAAGATCTGTGTCATAACTGAGAATAGTTCTTATGCTAGCTTTATCTCTTAAAACTGTATTTTTCTTGCCTTTTAGGATTCCATGTAATTTTTAATTTAATTTTTTAAAAGTTTATGAACATGATAATTTATTAATGACAGCACTCTTTTTGTTTTGTTTTTATAAATCTCTATTGTTGAAAGTATTACATATGTCTCCTTTTTGCCCTCATTGACCTCCTCCAGCCAGGCCCCCCCCCCCCC